GATTTATTGTAGAGATGAGGTCTCACTGCCCAGGCGGGTCTCGAACCTGCAGGCTCAAGCGATCCACTCACTTCAGCCTCCCAAAGGCGCGGGATTACAGGCTGGGCCACCGAACCCGGCTTATGATAATGTTTTAATATTGATTGTGATGATAGTTACACAACTCTGTGAATATACTAAAAGCCATTAAATTGTACACTTCAAATGATGAATTTTATGATATGTTAATTGTATATCAAGAAAGCTGTTTAAAAGTTTATGCCAATCTGGGCAACATAGTGAGATCTATCTCTATAAAAAGTAAAAAAAAAAAAATCAGCTGGGCATGGTGGTGCACACCTGTAGTCCCAGCTACTTGGGTGGCTAAGGCAGGAGGATCACTGGAGCCCAGGGGCTGGAGGCTGTGGTGGCTATGATTGTGCCATTGCATACCAGTCTGAGCAACAGAGTGAGACCCTGATGAAATAATAATAATAATAATAATACAATCATAAAATAAGAGTTTGTCAACTTTTATTCTAACCAGGAAAGGCCTGTGAGTGGGCGATATGTAGCTTTTTCTTATGTAACTGGCTCAAAGCTCTAAAATAGTAACAAATGACATTTTGCCATTTGACGTTACAATCACTACTCACTTAATCCTCACAAAATCCCTATGGCTTAGATACTGACAACCTCACTGAGTAGATTAATAAACGGAAGCACAGAGAGGTAAGGCGACTTGCCACAGGTCACACATAGTAGAACTGGGATTCAATTCCATGCTGTCTGACATCAAAGACCCTGTTCAGTGTCTGAATTCCTGATCTTTCTCAGATCAGGATGATGGCCCAAAGCAAGGGGGAGCTAAGAGACACATGGCCTTAAAAGAAGGTAGGAAAGGGCATGCCAGGTGCAGAGGGGAGCGCTGAGCATCCTGAGAGGGGTCGCTGGGCTTGGGGAGAGGTCCCCAAGGTGAGCAAGACACCCACACAGTGGTTCCTAAACTTCAATGGCATAGAAATCACCTACCACAAGACAAAGAAGAGAGGCTTATTTCTTTTTTTTTTTTTTGAGTTGGAGTCTCACTCTGTAGCCCAGACTGGAGTGCAGTGGCCGCTCCCGGCCACCGCAGCCTCGACCTGCTGGACTCTGGCGATCCTTCTGCCTCAGCCTTCCAAGTAACCGGAATTACAGGCATGCGCTACCACGCCCGGCTGATTTTTTGATTTATTGTAGAGATGAGGTCTCGCTGCCCAGGCGGGTCTCGAACCCGCGGGCTTAGGCAATCCACTCACCTCGGCCTCCCAAAGGCGCGGGATTACAGGTTGAGCCACCGAGCCCAGCTGAGAGACTTATTTCAAAAGCAGACTCCTGGGCCTCATGACCGGAGATTCTGACTCCATGGGCTTCTGAGGTGGAGACCAGGAACCCATTGTTATAACAAGTTCCCTGGGTGACTCTGACACAGATGGCCCAGGGACTACACTGCAAGATGTCCAGCCTAAACTTCAAGATCAGCACAAGACTCCTAGCCTTTGCCCTGGCCTCTGTTTCCCTTTCCATCCTGACATCCCATATTCCTGGCTCTCTTTCCCCTTCCCGTGCCTAGAGACCCCACTGAACATTACAGGCCTCCCAGGCTCCGTTCCTGCTCTTTCCTCCACCTGGCATGGCCTCCCTACCTTCCTTTGCTCTGTCCCATCTCCCCCAAGAGGCTGTGCCACATCTCTCCTTCTTGACCTCCCATCCCACATGGTCTAAAACCTTCTCTAACCATAAGCACATTTCGTGTGTGTGTGTGTGTGTGTGTGTGTGTGTGTGTGTGTGTGTGTGTGTGTGTTTATGTTTGAGTTGGATTCTCACTCCATCGCCCAGGCTGGAGTGCAGTGGCTACTCCACAGCCTCAACCTGCTGGGCTCAGGTCATCCTTCTGTCTCAGTCTTCCAAGTAGCCAGAACTAAAGGCATGAGCCACCACACCTGGTTAATTTATAAACACATTTCTTTACTGCATCTAAAAAATAAGAATGAGCCGGGCTCGATGGCTCAGCCTATAATCCCATGCCTTTGGGAGGCTGAGGTGAGTGGATTGCCTGAGCCCACGGGTTCGAGACCCGCCTGGGCAGGCAAGACCTCATCTCTACAATAAATCAAAAAATTAGCCGGGCGTGGTAGCGCACGCCTATAATTCTGGCTACTTGGAAGACTGAGGCGGAAGGATCGCCGG